AGTATGCCGCACCTCCCGTCTCGACGTAGCACGCCGGCTTCAGTTCCCTGCCTCAGTAGCCTATGCACTGAAATACAGCGCCGCGCAGAACCCACACGACTTCCTAATGACGCGCCCAATAATCAGAAGAAGGAGTTTAGGTCCGGGGTCCGTTTATATATAGGCCGGCTGATGGAACCGCATCATCTCGCTGTTTCCGCTGGCTCGTTTCCACAGCCAGCCTGTCTACGGGGTTCACAAGTTTGCCGCAAGTGGTCTACGGGGTTCACAAGTGGCCAGCCACGACACGGCACCCCTTTCCTTCCCTTCCGCTCGCTAGGTTTGCCATTGTTCAGCCCGGCGTCTCTTCTCGCCAGCGCTGTCGCAACTATTTCCTCGCTGCTTTTACCCCATCTCTCTACAACACGACGCCGTCTACAACACGACGTTCAAACTCACTTAAATCGTGATAACTTGCCATTGTAGCAGCAGTAACCGATCAAACAACTATGCCAGACTCTGGTTGTCTTATGTAGTTGCCGAACGGAGCGCCGTATTCTGATTGGTTCCAGATTTCTTTATTTGAATACGCGCGGCTGTACTATTTTTTGCCTTTTCAGGATATTCGGAAGTTATATTAATTTACATAAAACACAAATGAGTGATGACGTCCGGTAATTGAACATTTAACCCTACGTCGAAAATTGGAACAACGAATACTCACTTCTAGTCATTCGGAATATTGTGACCTGCAGTCTTGATCTGGAGACCAAAACGTGTCATATTCACTATGTTATCGTCTCACGCCGTTCAAAATGCCCGCGCGATATACTGAAAGAATTGAGTTTCCCGCGTGTAGATGAATGGAACATTTCTATACGTGACGATAGGGAGCGTCACAAACACCGGAGACTCGTATCGACCCTTCCGGTTGAACCTTGATGTACGTGTGACGTCGTCATGATGCGAGTAAAACACTGACACGGAGTTGTTCTGTACAGATATATTCACGATTTTTCTATACAATAATTACACTCCTGGGGAACTAGCGCTGCGCTCCCAGAACTGCACTTGAATCAGGCTACACTCTTTGAATGAGGCATCACCGCCTCGGCCTGACACTGACCCCAGCGGATAACCATAGCGCCGACTCTGGCCTCTGGTCCCGCGGCCACAAGTCGCAGCCGAAGCTAGCGATAGCCCCCTGACGGGTGACAATTGCCTTTCGCACCGCGATTCGGTTCAAACTCGAATGCCGACCGTTCCTTCGCTAGCCGCCTTTTCAAACCTCGTGACCGATCTCCAATGAACTCGACCCGCGGCACCTCATTAACGAATTTTGGGCCCGTTGCGAATTGGGGCCCGCCGCCGCTGTCGGACGCGATTGTCGTGACATATTGCTTCTCCTGCTTTGACACCTACGTTCTGGCAATATGCCCCGGGCTAGTCCTTTCGAGCTTGGTGGCCGCCAGCCTGCCGCAAGATGGCCACCCCTCCCCCTCGCGGGCCTCGCGACTTGTGGGCACATTGGCACGAAGATCGAAAAGCGATGTTAGTTTCATTTCCGGCGTTGACGCAAGAGTATGAAAAGGGCTTTTGAGATGGGAAAAACGTTATGTCATGTTAAGGAAAATAATATGCCATTGAAATATCCAGAAAATGGGTGGTAAATCTGAAGTTTTTTGGTGACACGGATCCTCTGATTCAGAGATTCAAAAGAAATCATTAATTTGCATTAATGAAGTAACTATTTCAGTTCGTATTTTTCACGCTAGAAATTTAATTTTGGAAAGAATGCAATTTTATAATAAAAGCAGTTTTATAATGAAAGCAATTTACTCTTTTATCATGCTATGATATATAAAAGCTTCTATAAAGAAACAAGACGTGTTAAATCAGAAGCAAATTAAGAACGGATGGGAAGAAAATACGGGAGACGAGTGACATCTCATGTACGCGTGATACCTAATATATAATTTCTTGCATTTTTTATGTCTTAAATACTTCTATATTTATAATTACAATTCTTCAACTCAACATTTGAATTCCGCTTCTGGACGTAATTATGAGAAGCACACATAAGACTTCAAATACGATGATTGGATTGGATGGTATATCATCGCAACACGTCGATAAGTCTTTCTTTGGCATTGTTTCATGGAGTAATCCTTCTTGACATTTTTGACTTTTTGTCTCGTCACGCTGTCAGTGGCTTTTATCCCTTCGACTTGGGGCTCGGCACCGTTAGTAACCGGTCTTTCCAAGACGGTCAACCGCCAAAAACTCCGTGGTGTCTGGAATTATTTTCTGTGACTTCACGGAGCTTTGTTATGCAATTCGGATAATGACGGTTTAAGTTACGAAACAAACAAATCAATATTTCGTATAATACCTAAATGTCAAGACAGTTTGTAAACCTAGAATACATCTCGAAAATCAACTTAACAAATTTATTCAACATACCTAAGCAAATAGTCATGGAACTGAATTACATTTATATTATTCTTCGGAAGCGTTAAAACTCTTAACACAGTTGTTGTAGAAGTAGGAATTATTAATGTTGTAGTAGCACTACAAATTGTGAAGATAGGTAAAAAGAATATCCATACGGATTTCACCAAGATTTCTGCGGTAACCACCGAGTGTATTAAATTGTGAAGAATTTACCGTGAACATTTATAAGATAGGTTGGGTTAATGTGAACCACGTTAAGAGACGATAATTTATGTATTGTTTTCTTTTTTGTTGTTGAGTTTGTTATTTTTCTGTCAAAGTCAGGGAGGTAACACGCATGCCTTTAATTTCGTAAAAAAAAGAAACAAGTGTGCATTGTAGTGTTAACAGATCTTTCATGTATTACTTTGAACTGGAGATTAGTTAGTATTATTAGAGATTAGTTGTATTATATTATGGTAATCCGAGATTTTTGTTGGTTGAAAGGAACCCACGATCCTAGACCTAAATAAATATGCTTGGATCTCCTGACGAAACGGAATAAGGTTACAATATCGTTAAAGCACATGAGAGTTACACGTTTTTCCCAACCCACGATTAAATATTCGGATAAAAAAGACCTTTCATCGGCCTGCCCTATCACCAATGGACTGCAAATGGCAATGACGTTTGCACGGCGTTCTATCCAAAGTAATTTTCGAAAATAACGATTCTCGTTTGAATGCGTAGTAGACTCTATAAAATATAAACGCAGTAAAAACCTCCAAAATATGCACTGAATTATGACCTTCGAAGTGTATTTTAACCCATTACAATACTGTCTCACATACTTTTTATACACTACATTCTTACCTTACTAAACTTCTTAATAAGATTTCAAAGAAAAGTATTAGCATAATCTTTAGAAATATTTGTTCCCAACCAGGGATATCTGCCGCAAAATAAATTAACAATTTGTAATAGTCACGAAACACTAAGAGAATTCACTGGAAGAACTTATGGTCAGTCAATGGCGAAGAAATTGAAATGGAAGTGGAAGGACACTGTTTGTACGAGCGAAAGCTTTACTTTTAAGAAATATAATAAATATATTACCCATCGTAAATATAGGCACATCCTGTTACATGATACAAGGTTGGCATGCCTCGTCATTTTATTTAATTCAAAATAGATGTATTCTCTCTGTAACACATTGCTTGAAACTTTCAAATGCTATTGGTAAGTGCGGCAGTCGGCGTCAAGCCCGACGCCTCCGCCGCTTTACGGCCTATAGTACGATTTATTTAGTCGTGCACATGACACATATGTTGCGCTTTCATCCAATCGGGAGTTTATATGTCGCTACAGTGACGTCAATGTGGGACGTTCAAGCTCCCGATTGGATGAAACATTTGATTTACTTCAAATGCACAGTTAAGTACATCCTAGTATACAGTGAGTAACGAGTTGAACTCCGTCCCAGCAAGTCATCCCTGGGGCCACGCTTCGAACCGTCTGTTACGAGTTCGCTCTCATGGCATCTATCATTTGTTACTGCTTTTCTTTCGCCCCGCGCCTGGGTAATACCGCCAACTAGTCCCACGAGCACCTCGGGAAAATGTGAGCCGAAATAGAAACATTTTCGGCTCACAATTACAATACATTCTCTTCTTACGGCGTACGAAGTTGTTAATTAAAAAGTAACTATTTGTTGGGTGGGTGAGGGCTAACCGAGAAATGCAGTGGGCGAGATGATCCCCGTGCGCTTGGCCACCACGATGGCGATGCCGGTGTCGAGGAAGGGCAGCGAGAAGTCGATGGCCTGCGAGCGCTCGTAGTTGATCTTGAGCGACGTGATCACCATGTCGGCGTGGTGGTTGATGAGCGCCGCCACCAGCCCGTTCCAGCGGCCATTCTGCAACCACAAACCATGTGATTAGAAGAGACTAACGTAAAGTGTCGGGCGTCGCCAGGATATTTGGTTAATACAAAATCTATTTCATTCAGTATAGAATAATATAATCTATTAGAAGGAATTGAATTGAATTGAATTGAATTAATGCCTTATTTTACGTGGCAAGACTCGGGCCATCAGGCCCGCTCTTCCGTCTGACCACGCAAATTTCGCTACGCTCCTTTCACCAACTAGCAGAGGAAGGAGGTATTTCTTGGGCGAGAAACAGGCGATTTTGAATTTAGCTCAGAGGCGTCATTTAGGCTTGAGGATCTTTTACATGCAAGTAAATCTACTGACATGGGACAGCCGGCTTTACTTCCCCTCCGAAGGAAGGCGTACGAAGTATTTTTTCGCCCTTAAAAATCCACGGCTTCGATCGGGTTTGAACCCGCCAAGTAGGGTACAACAGTCCGGTACACTAACCGTTACACCATCGTCGGGAAGAAAATTAATTCTATGAATGGTGTGAAATGAAAGCAATATTAATTATATGCTGGCTATTACCACCACAGTTCGCCTCGCTCCTGACCTACCCGCCCCACATTGCCTCCTGTCCGGAGCTGTCCTCCTAGAGAGCAATGCGGGTTTCGAAACATTTCGGCACAGAATAGATACTATACAGAAAGGAAAGCTACCCACAATCCGTGCACCGATATGATGCGTATGGTGGACATATTGAAAGTGTGTAAACTGCTGTATGACCCATTTGTTGTGTAGTGAACGGTTGAGAAGGTCTTATTTCCGTTTTACTCGTTATATTTGGTGTGTATATAACTAGCAAAAACATACGTAACCCGAGGGGACATTTGCTAAGTATAGGCAAATATTAATATCGCACATAGGCACATATTAATAAAAAATAAAGATAAAAAGTAAAGAATTATAAAATCATAAATAGCAGTGCTACAGAATGGCACATACGTTCTCGGGCTAGTATTCTTTTTTTTGCCACATACTTTGGCCAGCTGCCATCTACCCCCCCCCCCCCAGTAAATTTTTTTGACACGTTCTCACTTTTTCGGTTTCCTAATAGTATAACCAAAATATTACTTTAAGAATAATAAAGAAGAGTAAATCCTCGTCCTAAATGACAATTTTCATTTTAAAAAATTGGAGCTATTTTAAAGAAAATATTGTTTAATCGTTACTAAAACTGCGAAATTGAAGCTCTTTTTCAGAGAAACTTTTTGAGTTTTCGGACAACTTTATTTGAAGTCATTTAAAGCACTGTAACTCACTAATGCAATGGTGTTTACAAATCGCTGGCAATATTAACGGCGCGAGAGATATTAAAAAAAATACATTTGTGTAATTATTGAAAATAATTCACCAACCGGAATTTCATGTCATAATAAACAATGCAATTAGCTCTACCCGTTGGAAACGTTAGAAGACAAAATTTGACGTCGTTTTTGATAAAAAGGCGTTTAAGCTCACTCGTGCCGTTCCTTTGCACAGTCGCCTTCTACTTTCCTTTCTTGGTAATGCCTTTTCTGTGATTTGGGTGTAACCAAAGTTGGGGGTAAATTGTTGAATTGTGATCATGGTATATTTTTCTCAGCCGCTAAGTTTTATTGTATAAAAATTTGAAAGCGTGAGCTTTTTTTCTCGTCTGTTTTGACTACGATTTCAACATTTTCTTGTTTTGTGCTTCACAATTATTCAGGGCGTTCCACTCTGGCAAATTGAAAAGTTGTGACTTTATCCATGTCAAGTATATCTTTTAAACTATGCGTATCGATTTTTTTAAATTAAAGTCCAATTTCCTAAATGCATTTCCCGAAGGCATTACATCCCTAAAAGTCACGCCCCATAGACCGTCTCGCATCAAAAATCACCCGAAGCAAGACCAGCAGGCCTTGTAACTCGATCACCATAACCGGCAATTAGGATTCCGGGAGTGGCTCACCGTTTGGGCGCCCCATTTGCCGTCCTCCACCCGGAACAGCTCGTACGAGAAGCCCAGATCCTCGGCGAACTTCTCCAGCAAATCGATGCAGAAGCCCGAGCAGCACTGGTACATGGTCCCGTTGCGGTGCGCTTGCTCGTTATCAAGGCTATAGAAAACAGAACGTGAACAAAAATGTGATGATTTAGGCACCTAAAACAGGTAACAAATTTATGAAAGTAGACACTATTAGGCATGAAAAATGCCGTTTTAGGCACTGAAAATATGTTAGAAAATTACTAAACCATGTATTTAAAAACATTACAGCGAAAATTTATGTATCAGGTAAAATTAATCACAAAAGGATTAGGCACTGTTTATTATTTAGCAAAGTCAAGTATTTTTACATTTAAAGAGTGCCAACAAACATTATTTTATTCACTTTTATCTCTTTTATTTTTTCTTTTTTCTTTCAGACAAGTAGTTCTCAACCTGTGAACGGTGCAGCAGCACTGGGAATGGGTGTACTTGCTTAGGAAGTGCGTGATTGTCGGAGGCGAGCGTGAAACACCCTCCTTATAGTGACTTGCAGAGCTCATTTTCGCTGCGTTGTGTGAGAGAGTTCGATGCGTAGTCGATTGCATATTTGATCGGGGAATAGTCGCGTCGGGAAATTTGGGGGAAGTACTTGCGTTACGGTATAACAAATTTTAAAAAAATACGTAAATAAAATATTATACTTTTTCAAAATTACTTATTTTAGGACAAAAAATATTAAAATTGTCATCAACACCTCTTTTAGGACATTTTAGGCACTATTAAATGCTTTCAGTATATCTATTTTTTCATGATTCGTGAACATCTGCTATTATTTTCCACAATATTCTAAAGGAACTAATTAGGCATTTGTCCTAAAATCCGAGGTCTAATTATTACTCAAACTTACTGTCTGTAAGAGCGGTCGGAAACCCGTGATCTACAAACCATACGTGGTTCGTGATTCCTATGCACTGTCACCAAAAAGGAGAACTGCATCATCAACAGGGAAGCCAGCTATTCACGCTTATTGCATGCGTGTTTTGTATTGACCATGAATGTTCTCTTTCGTCATAATTGATATTTATTTCAAACTCTCCAAGAAATCAAGAACTTACCCTGAAATGTCAGATTCCTTGGCGTGGCGGCAAAAGACTCCCTTGTTGTGAGTGCACTTTCCAGTAACAGGGTCGGGAGGCGACAAATTTATATATGGTGGCTCTTCAAGGAAGGTGATCTTCAAGTGGAATTTCTCGGGCACCCCCTGTGGTGGCGTGTGGCTGTTACCCGGCCAGACTATGTCCTTAATGTCCAGCCCTTCCTTCTGCCACGATTTCCAGACTCCGATCTTTAAGCAAAAGAAGAACACTGATCACAATATCTGTCAACTACTGATTTTTTATCTCACATTTATACTGAGAATGTGTTTGGGAAAATAATAATTTTTAGACAGGTGTAAAATAAATATCTAACAAATTAAAATATTTGAGCAATGGAATATTTGTAATTTATATGAAAACAAAAAAATTGATATCAATGATTTTGGCACTGATATATATCACTAAGTTACTTGAAAATTATATTTATTTAATAAATATTCATTTCAACAGAATAGCCTAAGTTTCATAACCTATAAGAATGAACTCGTATTCAGAATTTCATTATTATCTTAAAATGTTTTTAATCCTTTTTAACTAGGAATCAAAAGTGATGCAATGTATCTCTTAAAATTTCAGAAAATAGTAAAATAATCAGGAATGTTGGGAAGAAGTCATCTACACTATTTGTCAACGACTTTGTTCGCTGAACATCAAATTCTTTGCCATATATTTGATGAATGCGCCGGAAATTGGCGAATATTCGACAGAAACACTTTTATTGTTGTAACCTGAACGAAATATTGGATAATCTTTGTCTTACATGTCGTAAATTACTTCGTCTAACACGTGTATACGGAATGCATACTTTGTTGGTCCTTGATATCGAAAAATCGTTTGACGTCCGTCCCTGTTCAACGCTAGCGCCTACACCGTTCAGACTCTTTTTCCAAAACTGTTATTTCCTGATCGTTCTGAACGAAGTCGACTGAAACTGAGACTCTGTTTTCTGAGGATACTTTCCATAAAGACGCAACATTTTCGCAACTCTATCAAATATGTCTCCAAAGTGTTTGAATAAACGTCATCGAAGAGCGCAATGGACGCTTAAACGATTGCTGGGGATCTTATTTTCAATGAAAATACTGTTTTTTTTTCGAAAAATACAAAAGATATATTTTGGGCGTTTTCTCACAATTACAACCTTGAAGATTATATATATATAATCTGGATCCGTCTATGAGAAAACTTTGGAATTAACCTATGGGCATTCTAGAAGTACCCACAAAAAAACTACTTTTTCAAATTCCTAGGGCTGCGAATTCGTCGAATCACATCGATCGTGTATTGGTAAAGATCCTATGTATAGTTTAGGTACCAGTGTAGTTCATAGATGGACGAATAAAGAACACTTTTTCGATAAGAGGGGCCGAGTGAATAATCCGTTAAAATATCGGGATCGATTTTTCGCAGCATTATGTATCGTTCTCTGTACTTAGACATATAATATCGGTATTAAAAATAATTGTAGAGAAGAATGAAAACCTGCGTTGAACCGATTACATTATTCAAAAGTGTAATTGCCTGTTTGCGATTATCATGTTTACTGTCCGAGAAACACTTCTTCCGAATTACGAAAATCGCATTACCGTCTCTTTATTGCTCAAAATAATTATAATAAATATCAATTAGTCAAAAACACTCCTTATGCAATGTGAGGAGGCAACGTAAATTAAGTCAAGAAAGGCGACCCGTCATCAATTTCGTTGTGCGTCTGAAAAAGTTGCGATGCGCCGTGCCATTAGAAGGCTGCATAATGTCGGGCGAGCCACGATGGATGAGGTGCCAAGTTCAGAGTGGCCAGTGGCATTCTTCTTCCAAGGGTCGCTGGACGTCTCCTGAACGAGACGTTGATAAATATTGGGCACATTCACAAGCAGGAGTGCGATCCCTCTCCTTAGTGCATTTTGAAGCAGGGTTGCATCGCACTTGAGGCGGAACCATCTGAGAGGTGTCGGTGATCTTAATGAATGTGAAATTGAACAAGTCGCAGCGTGTTCTCATTTTGTCATTTGAGAAGTGAAACCTCTCTGGAAGTTCCTTAATATGCCATAAATACAAGGTAATTTCAAATATCATTTTTTCTTTCATTTACAGTTTTTTGTCTGGTACAGTATACGAAGTAATTTTTGTATGTATTATATTTAAATTTATGTAATGCTGCAAAAATAGAGTTGAGATTTTGTCGGAAATATGCGTTTAAGAGATCCTTGATACAGAAAGGGTTTTTTACAAACATCTATCTTGCTCAGAACAACGTTAACCCTTAACACTTCAATTTTTGCTGCAATACATAAAATACACTTTTAAGTGTGATATAGGTCCGTAGTTTTGAGTTTAATCGTGACAATATTTTAACAACACCTAAACAATAGAATCTCTAGAAAATACATTTTGGCACAGTTACAATATTTTGTTTAAACGTTTGTATGAATAGGGAACACCTCTTCATAAATAATAACAGCACCTTAACGTAGTTTCGGTCGATAAAGTCGTTTAGTTGTTAGTAGTCGGGCAAACATGTTTTCGTAAGGGCAGCATTTCGTACCGGTGAGCCGGCAAAACTTTCTTTAAACGTTTTGTAAGGATATGTCACAACAAAATAAATGTAGTGGCAGTAGTGCTTCAAGTTCGAGTTTTTGGATTGATAATTCATAATACGTATTTTTTAGCACCCTCCGCGCTTCGTTGGTGAACAGTGGGTTTCAAGTGATGGCTTAAGTATTCGTAGGATACAAGTTGCAATATTATATTAGGGAACCATTACAAATAATACGTGTAATAAAGTATATGTTATAGATCCGCTTGTTTCTATATGTTCGTTTCTGGGTTTTTGGATTAATTTATTTTTGTTTCGCGATTATTTATGTACAATGTATGTCCACACAATCCACATTATTTCTTTCTGAGTATTAAAAAAAGTTGTGTCATGATTTGCAACAATGCATACTTTAATTTTTACAAAGTACGTCTTTTTTGTCCTTGACAAATGTTTTAAGACCAAGAACAGGCTCTCGCCTTTAATGACAGAATTTATAAAATGTTTGATTAATTGAATATATCGAGCACGTGGAAAATTACAAAACATCAGTTCCAATGACAACTGGCTGAAATACAAGGCGGAAAAATTTTCGCAATAACATCCTTGTTAGGAATATGCATGGGCTTATTGACTACATTCAATAGGTACGTCAAGGTCGCAGGGAAAGTAATTAGCTTTCTAGATTTTGGGGTCACTGCGACCAGAGAAACTAGTGCGAGATTTAAAAGTAAGGTTTGTAGAAGTCGCTCCGACATCATGGGATAACTGGCACATGAAGTTCGTCTGGACAAGTACCAGATTTAACAAAATTTCATGTCTGTTTATAAAGTTATCCTTGCGTAAGGGAGAATTGCTACTTGTAGCATACAGCGCGTCGTTAATTATTATTGCAATAAATAGCAAATAACTGAATATTTTAATAACAATATAATACAAAATGAAATCAGGGAAAGAATTCAAACATCTTCCTAGCCCTTGCCAAAAATGTTTTAACAAAGCAGAATTTAAAAGAAATAACAAACAGGAAATAGGGGATAAAATATAAACACATAACTCAAATCTCGGTAATTTGGTAGAAAACATCCGACACACACGTATTCAAATGAAGCACAGATATTTGAGCGCTTTCTGTTCATAGCTTCCATGCTATAGGTGTCGCGTGAACACACCTTTCTGGATTTGGAGAAGAAATGCGAGCAGAGTCAGGAGATGTTGCCCGTGTGAACGCTGATTGACATTACTGGAGGATCAGAAAAGGAGGAAGAATGTAAAAATGAAATCTTTAAAGTTCTATATCCCAGAACCTGTGATAGACTAAACTAGTGGTATTTACAGAATAACACAGAATTCCCGTATTAGTTTTCTATTTCTTAGATGTACGAATTTGGGACATACTCATCTCAGCCATCTATCGCCACCCAAAGTATGTATTTTTGAAATTTTCTTAATTTTTCGGTTTCCTAATCGTAGGATGAAAATATTATTTTATGAATATTAAAGAACAGTAAAACCTCGTCCTAAATGACCATTTTCTTAGAAAAACTGAAGCCGTTTTTCCGATAATGGCGCCTAAGCGCTACTGTAAATTTGAAACTTAAGCTTTTATTCACAGACATTTTTTGCGTTTTCGAAAATCTTCATTAACAAAAAGACGCCCGAAAACTTTTGAAATTTTGATACTTTTGAAAATTCTGAGTTAAACCTGAAAATCAAACCTATGGCACATTTATAAATGCATTATCTTCTATTCTTATAAAAAATTTAAAGAACAATAATGTGGTGCCGTTTTTGAGAACATTTTGAAAATGTCCCAGGGCATCATGTAAAGTATTCCCAAATTTTAAAGATTTTTTCAAAATCTCAAAGCTTCAGCTCGAGCTAGATGGACAGGGATTTTTTCAATTTGGAAAAAAATTCTACGTATGGTTTAGGCGATAGTGGTGTTCACAGACAGACGAACAGGCGACAGATAGACGGACGTTTCGAAGAAAACACTTCTTCAGTACCTGGGGACCTCAAAACGTGTATTACCGTTGAATTCTCGAAATTGGTTTTCCGCAGCATTACGTAACTTTCCCTATACTACTTATAATACTCCGTATATACGTACGTTTACGGAAAAGTAAAAATTAGTTCCTAAATTATATTCGGAAACACTTGTTTGTATATTGTTTCTGAAAAAAAAATTTATACAAATAGAAAATAGTATCAGCCAACTGTTCAGTCTACTTAAAACCTGTGATGATAGTAGGATTCAAAATTAGTTATCAACTCTCTCTGCAACTCTAGCCTCCGAATATTTTTTTATTTACAGCCGTAAGAAAATCCAAAAGACCTCGTAAAGCTTCAATCCAAGAAAATCAACGAATGAACAAAAAGTACCAAAGAAAAAATAGAAGTATTTGCGAAACACTTTACTGAAGTTTACCAAACCATCCATCAAAAACTTTATTTGAACCGGACGAAATACACGAATACTTAAAATCAAGCACACAAATGGCATTACCAATAAAATATTCTACCTACAAAGAAGTATTAAAAATTTTAAAAAAGGAATTGCTTAGCTAGAAGGCTCCCGGTGATGACATCACCGTGTCACTACTAAAAGAACTGCCTCGCAAAGGAACGTCATTTATCACTGGTCTCTTC